TGTGTGTGTGTGTGTGTGTGTGTGTGTGTGTGTGTGTGTGTGTGTGTTTCACCAGTTCTACCATATACAGTATGCTGTATTTATTTTTATTTTTTTAAAGTAGGATTAAAAGCCTTTTAGTCTTTTTTTTAAAATTAATTTTTGGCTGCATTGGGTCTTCGCTGCTGCGTGAGGGCCCTCTCCAGTTGAGGCTAGCCTGGGCCTTTCACTGCGGTGGCCTCTCCCTGCTGCGGAGCATGGGTTCCAGGCACATGGGCCCAGCAGTTGTGGCTCACGGGCTCCAGAGCACAGGCTCAGTAGCTGTGACACTTGGGCCCAGCTGCTCTGAGGCATGTGGGATCCTCCCGGACCCGTGTCCCCTGCATTGGCAGGTGGACTCCCAACACCTGTGCCACCAGGGAAGTCCCTATGCTGCATTTAAATGTCTTGATTTCCCTAATAGTCTCACTCCCCACCCTTGCTCCGATTTTTCTCAGGGCATTAAACATTCTACTGCATTCCTCTGCCTTAGTCTTTTTGTTGCCCGGCACTGTAGGACTGCAATATCCCTGCAACTGCCACAAGGTTTGGAATCTACCAGTGCCCTTGCTGGCAACTAATATTTGTGTATAGTTTGAAGAGGAGGTCTAAATTCATATTTTACCATTTGTGTACTTCAGTACTGCAGACCTTATTTATTTATTTATTTATTTGGTCACGCCACTCGGCATGTGGAATCTTAGTTCCCTAACCAGGGATCGAACCCGCACTCCCTGCATTGGAAGCATGGAGTCTTAACCACTGGACTGCCAGGGAAGTCCCCAGACCATATTTATTTATTTATTTATTTATTTAAATTAATTAATTTATTTATTTTTGGCTGCGTTGGGTCTTCGTTGCTGCACAAGCTTTCTCTAGTTGCGGCGAGTGGGGGCTACTCTTTTTTTTTTCTTTTTTCCGGTATGTGGGCCTCTCAGTGCCGTGGCCTCTCCCGCAGCTAAGCACAGGCTCCGGACGCACAGGCCCAACGGCCATGGCTCACGGGCCCAGCCGTTCCGCGGCATGTGGGACCCTCCCGGACCGGGGCACGAACCCGTGTCTCCCGCATCGGCAGGCGGATTCTCAACCACTGCACCACCAGGGAAGCCCGGGGGGGGGGGTGCTACTCTTGGTTGAGGTGCGCAGGCTTCTCATTGCGGTGGCTTCTCTTGTTGCGGAGCATGGGCTCTAGGTGCGTGGGCTTCAGTAGTTGTGGCACGCAGGCTCAGTAGTTGTGGCTCACGGGCTCTAGAGCACAGGCTCAGTAGTTGTGGCGCACAGGCTTAGTTGCTCCGTGGCATGTGGGATCTTCGCGGACCAGGACTCGTACCCATCTCCCCTGCATTGGCAGGTGGATTCTTTTTTTTTTTTTTTTTTTGCGGTACGCGGGCCTCTCACTGTTGTGGCCTCTCCCGTTGCGGAGCACAGGCTCCGGACGCGCAGGCTCAGCGGCTATGGCTCACGGGCCCAGCCGCTCCGCGGCATGTGGGATCTTCCCAGACCCGGGCACGATCCCGTGTTCCCTGCATCGGCAGGCGGACTCTCAACCACTGCGCCACCAGGGAAGCCCGGCAGGTGGATTCTTAACCACTGTGGCACCGGGGAAGTCCCTCTGTTTGTTTTTTACTGTAGATTTATATCTCAATTTGTTTCAGAGCAATTACTTCAAACGTACATAGTTAATTTATTTTTGTCTATGATCATTGCCGTATGATTGTTAAAGATAATTTCTTGAATTCCTAAACATGGTTGAATTTTTATAATTTTGACGCTTGAATTGCTTATGATAACTTTTATGAGTTTCCTATACCCGGGGACACAACTTTTGTGACTCTATGGAATGACAGGTTCATTTATATCTGTAGCCTTTAGGGGCGTCTGAAAGAATTTGTTTAGCCTCTCAGAGCACACTGAGCTTCCCGGGAGTCCAAACTAATACGTCTCCAAACACCTGCGCCATCAGTTGCAGAAAGGGCTCCCCAGAAATCTGAGTATGGCCTTTTCAAGAAGGAGCGAAGTCCCTCCTCTGCCCGAGAACCCAGACGCACAATTTCCCAGCGCCCCTGGCAGCGGAGCTCTGCCTTTTTTTTTTTTTTTTCTGCCTTCTTTACTAGAGGTCGGCGGGGCGTATCCTCACACGCGACCTGTGGTTCTGCGGGAACTACATTACCCAGAATGCTCCACGACGGGCGGCAGCGCCACTCAGCCAATCAAAGTCTCATAAAAGGGGCGTTTCCGTATCAGGTGCAATTCATAAGGGAGCGACTTCTGGTTTCCTTCTCGTGACGGCCATTTTAACTGCTCTGGGTCTGTTCTGGCTCCGGACTGCTGGGTCTGGACCGACGTGACGGCCAACAAGGTCCGAGAAGAGGCCTTGTTCCCCCAGGACAAAAGCAGGTCTGAGGCTCGGCGACGCCGCCCCGATGCCCCGCGCCAGGCCTGGCAGAGGGGCTGCCGATCTGGGTCCCGCTCTGCCCACAGACCCCAATGGCAGCGGTGGTGCTGAGGGACCCGCCTCAGGTAGATGCCTGTCCTCCGGACCCTCACCGCGCTCACCCCAGCAGACACTAAAGCCCCCAGTGCGGGGCGCCTGCTCTTGTGCTCGCAGCCCTCACCCCAGCAGACAATAAAGCTCCCAGTGTGGGGCGCCTGCTCTCGTGCTCCCAGCCCAGGACCCTGTGTCCAGGATGGTGAGGCGGCCGTGGGTGTGATGCCAAAAGCTTGGCCTCTGTGCACAGGTGCTGAATCGAATCTCGGAGACAGTTTTCGGTGAAGCAGAAAATAATAGTTTTATTGCTTTGCCGGGCGAGGGGGGACACAGTGGGCTCGTGCCCCGAAAACCTGTTGTCCCAACACCGGGGGAATTTGGTGAGGAGTTTTACAGCAACAGTTGAAGAACGCGGTTGTTGATTAGGATCAGGGTGTGAGCAGGGCTTGCATTCCTTTAATCTGGCCTCAGGTGGTGTCCTGATCTTCTCTGAAGAATGCTTCATCAAGTAGTTAGCATCTTCTATTTGTTGGGGGTTTTAGTTCAGTAGAGCTCAAGGATATTGTTATGAATATCCCTTGACCTACAAACAAGAAAAGCAAGACACAGAAAGGCTTCCGTACCCAGGAGCCCCTCAGGGTCCTGCTAGGTTTCTGGTGGGGCCCTGTTTCTGACAGTGTGGTGGCAAGTGGGGGAGGGTGACAGGCACAGGGACACCTTGTAAAAGGGGAACTGATCACTGAGGCTCAGAGATTAAGTAGCTATCCCAGACTTCAGGGCCAGGCAGGGGTACATGGAAGCCTGAGCCCATCAAACCCCTCCATAGACTCATCACTTGTTCCACATTTCCATGGCTGCTTATGGAACCAACACAGTCAAGTGGAAGATGTCCCGTTCCCTCGCTGGGCCTGACACTGAATCACATGTCTGGATTGTTGTGTCTTGGGACTGTTAAGTGCTATTTCCCCAGTCCTTGAGTCCCACCTGTGGGGTGGTGGAAAAGGAATTGGGGAGGCTCTCAGAGACAGTATTGTCTGGCAGGTGGCCAAGGCTCCCAAGAAAAGACGACATGAGATGGATGCACAGTCATAGTAGCAATTGAAGTGAGATGGCAGTCAAGCCAGAACTGGTGTTATTTACCACTCTGTACTCACCAGGATTTTGTGAGGACTTTGGTGGAGCTTGTTTCTCTCTTTTTTTTAAAAAATAATTTATTTATGTATTTATTGGCTGAGTAGGGTCTTTGTTGCTGCGCGCAGGCTTTCTCTAGTTGGGGCAAGCAGGCGCTGAGCGGGGGCTACTGTTCGTTGCAGTGTGCGGGCTTCTGATTACGGTGGCTTCTCTTGTTGCGGAGCACGGGCTCTAGGCGCGCGGGTTTCAGTGGTTGCAGCATGCGGGCTCAGTACTTGTGGCATACGGGCTTAGTTGCTCCGCGGCATGTGGGATCTTTCTGGACCAGGGATCGAACCCGTGTCCCCTGCTTTGGCAGGCAGATTCTTAACCACTGTGCCACCAGGGAAGCCCATGTAGCTTGTTTTTCATTCAGCCTGGAGGATAAGGTCAAGAGCAAATGTAGTCATCTGTGAGAGTCACTAGGCCTGGGGTAGGCCACCTGTGGGCTGTTCTTTGAACGAGGGGTAGGTGGACAGAGGAAGGTTGTAGTGGTAGGGGGCAGCAAGTGAAGCACACAAGTAGAGGAGAGCCATGTGTGTCTGAGATACACGTGTGATTCTGTGTGACTAAGTCAGAGGCAAGGAACTGAGCCAGGCAGGGAGATCTTCATAGAAAGTTTTGGGGCTGTGACTGCTAGTGGAAGCCATGGGATGTCTGGCATCATACTGGATTGTGTTTAACTATGTCAAGCATAATCTTTATGTAATCTGTCGAATTGCAGCATAAGCCCGTTATGGGTAGCCTTAACATGGGTGGTAGAAAATGGGATGGCTCAAATGTCCTCAGTGCAAGTTGCCCTCCCCACTCTGCTCCTACCAGATACCCCCTTTTTAGCAAGGAGACCAGAGCAGTTCCTGTTCATCCCTTTGTAGCAGGTTTCAGTTCCTACCAATCCATGGAATTTTGCACAAAGCCAATCACACCCTCCCATGGGAACCAAGGAACACTTCTCCCTCTTGATACTACAAAGCTTATGTCCCACAGCCCCCAGTGTACAGCCTCTCTTCTGGAGTACAACCTCCATGTGGCCCTGTGTAGTGTGGTGTGTCCTCCTCTCTCAGGCTGTGAGTATATGTGATTTATAAACTGCTGTCTATCTCATATGTTCAGTGTCAAATGTCACATGTTTGACTGTCTCCATAACTATACACTGGGAATTCCACCCTCAACAGTGGGTTGAAGAGGTGTTGATTAAGACACGAGTAATGTAGGGAGACCAAAGACATGCCTATGGTGTGGGCCCTAAGGTGGTGGTGGCCATGGGCATGTGGCTGTGGAATCTAGGGATGTGAGGGATGTGCATTCTAAAGAGTGGTGTGAACTTAGGGAGTATACCTGAAGGTTCCAGGATCTGGTATTGAGACTTTGGTAATACCAGGGTAATATGAGCCTCTGGATCCTCTATGCCAGGCCCATGGCTTAGATATTGTTGACCCGTCAACAACAAGGGGTTAGGAGCACCAACCCTCTGCACACTTGAAAATCTGCATAAAAGTTTACAGGTAGGCCCTCTGTATCTGTAGTTCCACAACTGCTGATTCATCCTACCTATACACAGATCGTGAGTACTGTAGTATTTATTTATTGAAAAAAATCCAGGTATGAGTGGACTCTTGTGGTTCAAACCTGTGTTGTTCAAGGGTCAACTGTATGTTTCTCCACCTGCCTCCTGGACCCAGGGATTAATGGGCACATGAAGACACAATGGCATCAGTGGTGCCAAGGCCTAGTTTCTCAAAACGCTGATTTAAGGAGCTTGGGAGGAGGGTGGGCATGGAATAGATGTTGGGGGAAGGGATTGTGACTCAGAAGTGGACTGCTTTTGGTTCTGTCATCATCTTAGCAGGGCAAAGTGACCTTTGAGGATGTGGCCATGTACTTCTCTTTGGAGGAATGGAATCTCCTTGACGAGCCTCACAGATGCCTGTACCAAGATGTGATACTGGAGAATTTGGCACTTGTAACCTCCCTGGGTAAGACCCTCAAACCTACACCTGTGCCCAGAGATAGTCTCTGCCCTTTCTCTTTCCCCAGGACCAGCTATGTCATTCTCAAATCAGGACTATGGGCCCTGCTTCCTCAGTTTCCTGAGTAGGTGCTGTGGTTGGTAGGACTGCCCTCTCCTCTCTTTGAGCAGGCCCAACACCTGCTTTCCTGCAGACTCCCAGGGAAGGATGCAGGGTCCAGAGTCTTGTACTCATCCTGAGTCCTACCTTACTTGCCTTCTCCCGGGCCAAGTGACTGTCCAGATCCAAGGAACGAGTGTGACCCAGGTCTAACTTACTTCCTCTAGTTGACATTTCCTCATGCCTGCCTGTGCCAGCAATTATCATCACTGACATAGTCACTACTTATGTGGATCATGTTCTGTTCTTGTAAGAGCCTCCCCCAAAGTTCTCTTTGTAATAGTTTTCTTTCCTGTGGGCTATCAGTATTCTGGGCCAATCCTGAATGCCGTCTGTCCTATCTTTCCCTTAACACTTCCATCACCCAAGTCCCATGTAGTTGCTTATATTGGGGGTGGGGTGGAGAGCCCTGGGTGGTTCACAGAATGGAAATAAATTGTCATAGTCAGTTAGTGCTGCTATAACAAACTAACATGGTTGGGTGTTTAAACAAACATTTATTTCTCACTATTCTTCAGTCTGGGAAGTTGAAGATCAAGGCACTGGCCTTGTGGAAAGAGCCTTCTCTTTTTCTACGAAAAGAATAGGTATGTACTGTCTACTGCCCTAGGATGGTTTGCCTCTCTTTGACAACTTATCAGGATTTGGACAACATTCCATGAGGACATAAAAAAGTCCTCTCCTGGAGCCTCTGGTGAACAGTTGGGTCTTGCTTTACAGTGTGGTTCCATTCACAGCCTCCATCCTCCACCCAATCCTACTTCTAAACATGGCATCTCTCAGCAAAGAAGCCAAGCATAGATTATGGGAAAAATGGTTAATAACCAGGAAACTGGGTCTCACTGAGGAGAAGCAGCTTGTCCAAGGAACTATGGCCTCAACACCCACAAATCCCATTAGGGACTTCAGGGTTCCAAATCCTGCCTTAGCACTTGCAACTTGGAGTGCTTAAATGAGTAACAAACCTCATTCTTCTTTAGATCTGTAGAGCACAGTGATTTTCACATTCTAGGAACTATATCCTGACACTGTAAATTTTTAAACCTGCAGTTTAGGAGACAGTTTAAAAGGTAGAAAGGGAGCTAAAGGGCAGAAATTATGATTGCATAATACATTACATTAGTGTGTTGCTCAGTAGCTTACCAAACCCTTTTACCCACATGTTTATCCCTGTCTGTCTTAGTACATTCAGGCTGCTGTAACAAAATACCACAGACTGTGTAGCTTATAAACAACAGAAATTGATTTCTCACAGTTCTGTGGGCTGGAAAGTCCAAGATCAAGGCACCAGCATGAGGTTCTGGTGAGGGCCCTATTACTTGTTCATAGCTGCCACCTTCTCTTTATGTCCTTATATGTTGGAAGGGGCTAGAGAGCATTGTGGGGTCTCATTTATAAGGGCACTAATCCCATTTATTATGGCCCCACCTTCATGACCTAATCACCTGCCAAAGACCCCCACTTCCTAATAACATCACATTGAGGATTAGGATTTCAACATATGAATTTTGTGGGGACACAAGCATTCAATCTATAGCATTCTACCCCGGTTCCCAAAATTCATGTCCTCTCACATACAAAATAAATTTATCCATTCCAACAGCCCCCAAAATCTTTTTTTTTAACATCTTTATTGAAGTATAATTGCTTTACAATGTTGTGTTAATTTCTACTGTACAACAAAGTGAATCGGCTATATGTATACATATATCCCCATATGCCCTCCTTCTTGCATCTCCCTCCCACCCTCCCTATCCCACCCCTCTAGGTGGTCACAAAGCACCAAGTTGATCTCCCTGTGCTATGCGGCTGCATCCCACTAGCTATCTGTTTTATGTTTGGTAGTGTATATATGTCAAAACCACTCTCTCACATTGTCCCAGCTTACCCTACCCCCTCCATGTGTCCTCAAGTCCATTCTCTACGTTTGTATCTTTATTCCTGTCCTGCCCCTAGGTTCTTCAGAAACTTTTTTTTTTTTTTAGATTCCATATATATGTGTTAGCATATGGTATTTGTTTCTCTCTTTCTGACTTACTTCCCTCTGTATGACAGACTTTAGGTCCATCCACCTCACTACAAATAAGTCAATTTCATTTCTTTTTATGGCTTAGTAATATTCCATTGTATATATGTGCCACATCGTCTTTATCCATTCATCTGTTGATGGACACTTAGGTTGCTTCCATGTCCTGGCTATTGTAAATAGAGCTGCAATGAACATTGTGGTACATGACTCTTTTTGAATTATGGTTTTCTCAGGGTATATGCCCAGTAGTGGGATTGCTGGGTCATATGGTAGTTCTATTTGTAGTTTTTTAAGGAACCTCCATACTATTCCCCATAATGGCTGTATCAGTTTACATTCCCACCAACAGTTCAGGAGGGTTCCCTTTTCTCCACACCCTCTCTAGCATTTATTGTTTCTAGATTTTTTGATGATGGCCATTCTGACCAGTGTGCAGTGATACCTCATTGTAGTTTTGATTTGCATTTCTCTAATGATTAGTGATGTTGAGCATCCTTTCATGTATTTGTTGGCAATCTGTATATCTCCTTTGGAGAAATGTCTATTTAGCTCTTCTGCCCATTTTTGGGTTGGGTTGTTTGTTTTTTTGCTATGAGCTGCATGAGCTGCTTGTATATTTTGGAGATTAATCCTTTGTCAGTTGCTTCATTTGCAAATATTTTCTCCTATTCTGAGGGTTGTCTTTTCACCTTGTATATGGTTTCCTTTGCTGTGCAAAAGCTTTTAAGTTTCATTAGGTCCCATTTGTTTATTTTTGTTTTTATTTCCATTTCTCTAGGAGGTGGGTACAAAAGGATCTTGCTGTGATTTATGTCATAGAGTGTTCTGCCTATGTTTTTCTCTAAGAGTTTTATAGTGTCTGGCCTTACATTTAGGTCTTTAATCCATTTTGAGCTTATTTTTGTGTATGGTGTTAGGAAGTGTTCTGATTTTATTCTTTTACATGTAACTGTCCAGTTTTCCCAGCACCACTTATTGAAGAGGTTGTCTTTTCTCTATTGTATATTCTTGCCTCCTTTATCAAAGATAAGTTGACCATATGTGCGTGGGTTTATCTCTGGGCTTTCTATCCTGTTCCACTGATCTATATTTCTGTTTTTGTGCCAGTACCATACTGTCTTGATTACTGTAGCTTTGTAGTATGGTCTGAAGTCAGGGAACCTGTTTCCTCCAGCTCCGTTTTTCTTTCTCAAGATTGCTTTGGCTATTCAGGGTCTTTTGTGTTTCCATACAAATTGTGAAATTTTTTGTCCTAGTTCTGTGAAAAATGCCATTGGTAGTTTCATAGGGATTGCACTGAATCTGTATATTGCTTTGGGTAGTATAGTCATTTTCACAATGTTCATTCTTCTAATCCAAGAACATGGTGTATCTCTCCATCTGTTTGTATCATCTTTAATTGCTTTCATCAGTGTCTTAATAGTTTTCTGCATACAGTTCTTTTGTCTCCTTAGATAGGTTTATTCCTTGGTATTTTATTCTTTTTGTTGCAGTGGTAAATGGGAGTGTTTCCTTAATTTCTCTTTCAGATTTTTCATCATTAGTGTATAGGAATGCAAGAGATTTCTGTGCATTAATTTTGTATCCTGCTCCTCTACCAATTTCATTGATTAGCTCTACTGGTTTTCTGGTAGCATCTTTAGGATTCTCTATGTATAGTATCATGTCATTTGCAGACAGTGACAGCTTTACTTCTTCATTTCCGATTTGGATTCCTTTTATTTCTTTTTCCTTCTCTGATTGCTGTGGCTAAAACTTCCAAAACTATCTTGAATAGTAGTGGTGAGAGTGGGCAACCTTGTCTTGTTCCTGATCTTAGAGAAAATGGTTTCAGTTTTTCACCATTGAGAACGATATTGGCTGTGGGTTTGTCATATATGGCCTTTATAATGTTGAGGAAGGTTCCCTCTATGCCTACTTTCTGGAGAGTTTTTATCTTAAATGGGTGTTGAATGTTGTCGAAAGCTTTTTCTGCATCTATTGAGATAATCATATGGTTTTTATTTTTCAATTTGTTAATATGGTGTATCACATTGATTGACGCAAATATTGAAGAATACTTGCATTCCTGGGATAAACCCCACTTGATCACGGTGTATGATCCTTTTAATGTGCTGTTGGATTCTGTTTGCTAGTATTTTGTTGAAGATTTTTGCATCTATGTTCATCAGTGATATTGGCCTGTAGTTTTCTTTTTTTGTGACATCTTTGTCTGGTTTTGGTATCAGGGGGATGGTGGTCTCATAGAATGAGTTTGGGAGTGTTCCTCCCTCTGCTATATTTTGGAAGAGTTTGAGAAGAATAGGTGTTAGCTTTTCTCTAAATGTTTGATAGAATTTGCCTGTGAAGCCGTCTGGTCCTGGGCTCTTGTTTGTTTCCCGGACCGGGGCACAAACCCGTGTCCCCTGCATCGGCAGGCGGACTCTCAACCACTGCGCCACCAGGGAAACCCCCTGGGCTCTTGTTTGTTGGAAGATCTTTAATCACAGTTTCAATTTCAGTGCTTGTGATTGGTCTGTTTATATTTTTTTCTATTTCTTCCTGGTTCAGTCTTGGAAGGTTGTGCTTTTCTAAGAGTTTGTCCATTTCTTCCAGGTTGTCCATTTTATTGGCATAGAGTTGCTTGTAGTAATCTCTCATGATCCTTTGTTTTTCTGCAGTGTCAGTTGTTACTTCTCCTTTTTCATTTCTAATTCTGTTGATTTCAGTCTTCTCCCTTTTTTTCTTGATGAGTCTGGCTAATGGTTTATTAATTTTGTTTATCTTCTCAAAGAACCAGCTTTTAGTTTTATTGGTCTTTGTTATTGTTTCCTTCCTTTCTTTTTCATTTATTTCTGATCTGATCTTTATGATGTCTTTCCTTCTGCTAACTTTATGTTTTTTTGTTCTACTTTCTCTGTTTGCTTTAGGTGTAAGGTTAGGTTGTTTATTTGAGATTTTTCTCATTTCTGATGTAGGATTTGTATAAACTTCTCTCTTAGAACTGCTTTTGCTGCATCCCATGGATTTTGGGTCATTGTGTTTTTTCTGTTTTTATTTTTTATTATTATTATTTTTTTGAGGTACATGGGCCTCTCACTGCTGTGGCCTCTCCCATTGCGGAGCACAGGCTCTGGACGCACAGGCTCAGCGGCCATGGCTCACTGGCCCAGCTGCTCCACGGCATGTGGGATCCTCCCGGACTGGGGCATGAACCCGCGTCCCCTGCATCGGCAGGCGGACTCTCAACCATTGCGCCACCAGGGAAGCCTGGTCATTGTGTTTTCATTGTCATTTGTTTCTAAGTATTTTTTGATTTCCTATTTGATATCTTCAGTGATCTCTTGGTCATTTAGTAGCGTATTGTTTAGCCTCCATGTATTTGTGTTTTTTACAGTTGTTTTCCTGTAATTGATATCTTGTCTCATAGCATTGTGGTTGGAAAAAATACTTGATAAGATTTCAATTTTCTTAAATTTACCAAGGCTTGATTTGTGACTGAAGATATGGTCTCTCATGGAGAATGTTCCATGGGCACTTGAGAAGAAAGTGTATTCTGTTGGTTTTGGATGGAATGTC